CACTGGGGAGTGAAGGCTTTTAAGATACAGATTTTGGAGAGATTAGAAAGCTAATTGATACCACCCCAGAAGAATTAACAAAAGGAATTCATGGAGATGAGTACCTCTGAACCAGTGACAAGCAGTGAAGAAGAAGATGAAATAAAATGGTGCCAGAAAACAAATTGACATCAGACAGTCTTGCAGAAGGGTTCCAATTATGCAGCATTGCTTTTGACTGTTTTACAGCATGAATCCTTGTATGATACGGGCCCTGAAACTAATCAGTGAAACAATGATGGTATACAAATATTCAAGAAATGAGAAGACAAGAATATCAGGATCTATAATGTATTTCCATAAAGTTATACCAAGTATGCCTGCCTCTCACCAGTAATTCCTTTGGTGTGGTGTCAATTAGCTTTTGAATCTCTCCTAGATCCTTCCTTTCCACCTTCTGTGCCACCCAAGACGGCAAGAGCAAGGGCCTCCTCCTCTGCCCCAGTGTGGAGACGTGAGAATGAAGATCAATTTGTACTTAATGGATAATAAATAATCACTATGCCATACACTTAATAAGCTTATCTGGTGGGGGCACGTGTCTTCATATGAAAATCTAATTACTGTATGACAAGAACTGTGTAGACTTTTTTCTGTCACCATCACCCAGTGGTTCATTTTGTAGAACATCATATGCAAGACTTGTACTGAAGTGGGCAGTGCATCCTGACATAAATGTGAAGTGACTGATATTTAATATAAAATTAAGGTGCTAGTTGGCTTACTGTTTTATAACTTTGCTTTCAAAGAATTACATTACTGTATAGTATAGCTTTCTTGCAATTGGATAAAGTTGTGTATCAGCCTATGATCATAGGGAAGTGATCTTTAAAAAATGTAGCAGTGTTTCTAATACTGTACTATGAATATGACTGTAATCTTTTATGCCATAGAATTTTTATAATGATTCATTCCTTAGTGTATAGATAGGCTAAGTTACCATAAAGCAACCATATTACTGCTTCTACATTATCAAAACATGAATTGTTATAGCTATAAATAAATGTGTATTTTTCTTTAACATTGTCTTTCATTTTAAAATAATTTTTATTGAAGTATAGTTGCTTTATGAGGTTGTGTTAGTTTTTTTGCTGTACAGCAAAGTGAATCAGTGCTGCTGCTGCTGCTGCTTAATCACTTCAATCGTGTCCAACTCTGTGTGACCCATGGATTGCAGCCCACCAGGCTCCTCTGTCCATAGAATTCTCCAGGCAAGAATACTGGAGTGGGTTGCCATGCCCTCCTCCAGGGGATCTTCCTGACGCAGGGATCGAACCAGGATCTCCTGCATTGCAGGCAGATTCTATACTGCTGAGCCGTCAGGGAAGCCTGAATCAGTGAGATATATATATCTCCACTCTTTTTTGGATTTCCTTCCCATTTAGATCACCACAGAGGATTGAGTAGAGTTTCCTGTGCTCTACAGTAGGTTCCCATTAGTTATCTACTTTATACATAGTATCAGTAGTGTATATATGTCAACCCCAGCCTCCCAATTCATCCCACCCCTCCTTTTGTCTCCTTGGTAACTGTAAGCTTGTTTTCTACAGTCTGTGTTTCTATTTCTGCTTTGCAAATAAGTTCATCTCTACCATTATATACATCATCTTTCATTTTTGATGTCTAGTGTTAGTAACACAAGTAATATTTATAGTATAGTGTTATATCAGATAAGGCAATATTGGTGTAAGTACTGACATACAGATGATTCATCTTATAAACAGATGTACACTGATGGTATTGATAAATGCAGTACAGTACTGTAAATGTATTTCCCCTTCATTATGGATTTCTTAACAACATTTTGTTTTCCCTAACTTATTTTATTCTAAGAGCACTTTATGTATGAGTATGTAATACATATAACATACAAAATATGTGTTGATCAGCTGTTTATGTTATTGGTAAGGATTCCAGGCAAAAGTATTGCTATTTGGGGAAGTCAAAAGTTATACATGGATTATTAACTCCATGGGAAGTTGGATGCCTTAACCCCCATAATGCTATATGTTAATATATATACTATATATATATATAAAACATAGCATTAGAGGATGAACTAAAGAGCCTCTTAATAAAAGTGAAAGAGGAGAGTGAAAAAGTTGGCTTAAAACTCAACATTCAGAAAACTAAGATCATGGCATCTAGTTCCATCACTTCATGCCAAATAGATGGGGAAACAATGAAAACAGAGACTTTATTTTCTTGGGCTCCAAAATCATTGCAGATTGTGACCACAGCCATGAAATTAAAAGACACTTTCTCCTTGGAAGAAAAGCTATGACCGACATAGACAGCATATTAAAAAGCAGAGACATTACTTTGCCAACAAATGTCCATCTAGTCAAGGCTATGGTTTCTCCAGTAGTCATGTATGGTTGTGAGAGTTGGATTGTAAACAAAGCTGAGGGCCAAAGAATTGATGCTTTTGAACTGTGGTGTTGGAGAAGACTCTTGAGAGTCCCCTGGACTGCAAGGAGATCCAGCTAGTCCATCCTAAATGAAATCAGTCTTGAATATTCATTGGAAGGATTGATGCTGAAGCTGAAGTTCCAATACTTTGGCCACCTGATGCGAAGAACCGACTCATTGGAAAAGACCCTGATGCTGGGAAAGATTGAGGGCAGGAGGAGAAGGGGATGACAGAGGATGAGATAGTTGGATGGCATCACTGACTCTGTGGACATGAGTTTGGATAAACTCTGGGAGTTGGTGATGGACAGGGAAGCTTGGCGTGCATGGGGCAGCAAAGAGTCGGACACGATTGAGTGACTGAACTGATATATAATTTATTATGATAAGAATATAACCATTGACTTCTTCTTCCTTAACTGTTTTTACCAAGTATTGTATGTGTCTAAGGCTTTTCAGGATTTGTGATGATAATCATATATGTATTAATATTATATACCATATTAATAAGTAATATATGTATATGTTTACTATTATTACTATTACTATTATTATCTGTTATGTATTATTATCACTAATATTAAAACAACCTTTTATTCTTGGAATAAATTCTACTTTGTGACTGGATGCTGATAATATTTTATTTAGTACTTTTATATCAACACTCAAAGGTAATATTGGTCTCTCTTTCTTCTGTGAGATGGTCCTTAAAATTTTTTTTTTATCTCTTATGGAGTTATTTTTGGTAATCTTTGCTTTCCTAGGAAATTATCCCTATCATCTAGGTTTTGAAATTTATTTGCATGAGGTCTGCAAAGTAGTCTGTTTTTTAATAATTAATTTTTATTGGAGTACATTTAATATACAATGATTTGTTAGTTTCAGGTGTACAGCAAAGTGAATCAGTTATACATATATCCACTCTTTTTTTTTGGATTCTTTCCCCATATAGGTCATTACTGAATGTTAAGTTGAGTTTCCTGTACAGTAGGTCTTTATAGTTATTTTATATATAGTAGCATGCATGTGTCAAGGCCATCCCATGTGGCACTACTGGTAAAGAACCCACCTGCCAATGCACGAAACATAAAAGAGTCATGTTCGATTCCTGGGTCGGGAAGATCCCCTGGAGGAGGGCATGACAACCCACTCCAGTATTCTTGCCTGGAGAATCCCGTGGAGAGAGAAGCCTGGCAGGCTACAGTCCATAGGGTCGCAAAGGGTCAGACACGACTGAAGCAACTTAGCACACCATGCACACACACACACACACACACACACACACACACACACACATCATATCTTTTTTATCCATTCATCTGTTGATGGACATTTAGGTTGTTTCAGTGTCTTGGCTGTTGTAAGTAGTGCTGCTATGAACATATGGGTGCATGTATCTTTTCAAATTATAGTTCTAAATATATGCCTGGAAACGGGATTGCAGGGTCATATGGTAGCTCCATTTTTAGTTTTTTGAGGAACCTCCATACTGTTCTCTGTAGTGGCTACACAAGTTTACATTCCCACCAGCATTGTAGGAGGGTTCCCTTTTCTCCACACCCTACCCAGCATTTGTTATTTGTAGACCTTTTAATGTTGGTCATTCTGACCAGTGTGGGCTGGTACCTCATTGCAGTTTTGATTTGTATTTCTCTAATAATTGGCGATAATGAGCATCCTTTCATGTGCCTGTTTCATGTACCTGTTAACTCTTTACTCATTGCCTTACTTTTCTTTGAACCTATTAAAACACTACTTCATTGAGATTTTATCTAGGGAATTCCCTAGTGGTGAAGACTCAGCGTTTCCACTGTAAGGGGCATGGTTTCCATCCCTGGTAGGGGAACTGAACTGAGATCCCACATGCCCTGGGGTTGGCCAAAAATAAATAAATTTTATCTAACTCCCACCAAGACATGTAATAACACCTGTATTTCTTTTTTGAGGCTGAACTTTGTTTCTTCTCTGAAGGACCATGTGTAAAGTTCAGTTTTTGTTTTCAGATTTGAGCGATTTGATTGCATTTTAAGATGGACATCTGAGTACATATAATAATGGAACAGTTTAAAATTCTGTAGAAAGATTTATGATTAACCTCTAAGAATGGTTTACTTTACCCTTTAATGAATAGCAACAAGACCTTTTGATCAGTCAGATGTCTTAGTAAAATTGTTTTAATGATTTAGGTGGAAATGTCTCTAAGGGACAGTTTGAAACCATGACTATATGTCATTTGTAACTTTAGCTATCAGTTGAGCTTGCACACATGATACCTTCTAGGATTTCAATCAAATGGTAAAAGATATTGACACTTTTCATATCATTTAAAATTGCAGTGGTTGTGCTATGGGAATTAAAATATGAAATATGAAGACCTGTAAAATACACAGTAAGCAGATAGTTTGGATTAACTAGGTACAGAAAATACAGTATTCTTTTTCATAAGAAAGTTGAATAGAGAAAACAGCATTTTCCATATTCTTATTTCTAAAAGACTTTCTAATATAATAGCAAGTGAAAAGAGAGATTTTTCTACTGAAAGGGCTGTCCTAACTCTTCTGTTTAGCCACACTTGCATAGGTATTTTCAATTTCTTTGTCTTCTGGACACGTGTGGGTAAATTCTTCACGGGCGTAGGCATTGTGGAGATAGCGCCAGACTCCTGAGAATTCTACTGGAATGTCAAAGTCACGGTATTTCTTTGCAGCAACCTAGTGTTTTGGGGGAAAAAAAAAGAGGAAAAGCAGTTGATAGTGAGGGGCATCAGTAACATGCTGACTGTGTAAAAATACATCTCAAAGGTCCAGATCATTGAGGACATGTTATCTACACAAAAAGTACAAAATAAATGTAAAGAATCTTGGTTTTACTATTTTAATGTTTTTTTCTACATATGTAAACAAAACTTTATGCTTGTAATTATTTTTTTTATTTATGCTATATTTAATTATAAATATATTTAGAAGAAGGAAGCACAGATAAAGAGCTTCTATCTCTTCACTGGACTATGAGTTTGTTCAGGGTTCCAACAGTGTCTTCCTCCTCAACAGTTCTGTGCAATGGGTACCCTTGTTTTATAGACAAGACAGTGGAAAACACCTTCTGATTTAAGAAGAAAGAAGCAAGAAGTGTTTATGCTTCCCAGTGGAGATCTTTATGGATTTTTCTTCTAAGGAGAAAAGGAGACATACACTACGTATAACAATGATGACAAATCAATAATATAAAAACCTCACACTGAATGGTCACTGTGCTTCTTGCTGGCGACTCCCCAGACCCTTCTCAATCATTCAGCCTACCCTGTAAAGACTTACTTTAATAATGTGCAGTTTGGGTAACAAACTGCAGTCAGCCAGGGTCAGTTGATTGCCATCCAAGAACAATCTTCTGGAGACTGTAAGTTCTTCAGCACTGTCTGGATCAATTTCATCCAGAAGTGGGGTGTTCAAATAGTCATCCAGACGCTTAAATTCTTTAAGCAGAGATTTTTCAAAGGCTGAGGCAATGAAATCATAGGGTTACATATACATTTGTTATCTTCATGACTGAATACATTCTCAATATGTTTTCTCACATTAAGATATCTCTGTCCTTTCACATCGCTTACAATGACTCTTCAAAATCTATATATTTAACTAAATGCTCAACTACACACTGATAAGACAGAGGCAGATGTTTAATCAAATGGCGAGTGGAAATATTTTTGGACTTTTCCTGAGGAAGCACATTGGGAGGAGAGTCAAAGAAAGAAAGGTGATGCATATTATCACTAGAGGAGAGTCAGAAAGTGGGAAAAGAGACTCATAGCTCTCCTGATTCAGAGAATAGTAAACCTGTTCAAGAGTGTTTGTGGGAAATAGTAGCTGCTATGGTTTAAGAAACCTTAAAGGTACACACAGCTGGGAGAGTTGGAAGGTTAAGAAATACAATCCTGCAGTTAGTTCACATTTGGCATGCCAATGTTCTAGTTGAGCTAAGTTGGTGATTACTATATTGAATATTAGGTCATAAATCCAATAAAACTTCATTCAAGGGAATTTCAGAAGAGAGGAAAGAGAACGAGATGAAGAGTATTTCTCAATATATATTATATATTCAGGAAAATCCTATTTTAGCTGAGCCAGAATGTGATTGTGAGCATGTGAGAGAAACAAAAAGATTTAAATAAAGGTGTCTTACTCTTATTTGCCTCCTTTTGTGTATTCTTAATGTATGCAGAAAACTTGGCAAAGAGATTACAGCCCACATCAAAGGACTCCTTGTTCCTGGGACTCAAGTGAGGATACCTTAAAAAGAAACATCACTGCACATAACATTCACATATAACAAGGCATACACCAGGTGCCTAGCTTGCACTCTACTGAGAATAGAAATTTTGGAAAATCGTGCTGGAAACTGAAGGTCCTGAGAAACCTTTCATTGAAAATATGTCTTTTTCCCAGTCTGAGAATACTTTAGTGTTTGAAATTCACTGGGAAATCAGCTATTTGGAATTCAAAGTTCCTTTATCTGTGAAAACAATGTTTCAAATGACTGTTGGGTCCCATGGTAGTGGTTTAGTCACTAAGTCATGTCCAACTCTTGTGACCCCATGGACTGTAGCCCACCAGGCTCCTCTGTCCATGGGATTTTTTTCCAGGCAGGAACACTGGAGTGGATTTCCATTTCCTTCTCCAAGGGATCTTCCCGACCCAGGAATCGAACCCAGGTCTCGTGCATTGCAGGCAAATTCTTTACCACCTGAGCTATGAGGGAAACCCCCCATACTTGATCCTAAAAACCTGTTTGACAGAAGATAAGTAGTACAAAAAAACATGGCTTCAAATAACAAAACACATAAAAGTGTAAAGAGGAGAAAGTGGGGAAAGAAGCAAAGATGTCTTCCTCTTAGTAATACGAAGTTAATTTAGCATAATACAATAAAATAATGTAATAATAAAAAATAATGTAATAATGTAATTCACCACATTAACAAATGAATGAAAGCTGTATGATCATGAACAGATGCCTGAAAAGTGTCCAGTGAAAATAAATAAATCAACTACTATTCATAAAACCCTGCACTAGCAACTAGAAATGGTTGGGTCCAATATTTAACCATCTTCCTTGACTCTTCTTTTTCTCCATCCCTGCATTTGATCCATTAGCAAGTCCAGCCAGCCTACCTTTCAAAATGTACCTATAATCTGTCCACAACTTGCCACATCCACTGCTTCCTGCCTGCTCCCAAGCCTATATTACTGCAACTGTTTTTGATTACAGTAATTCCCCAACGTATGAACCTTCAAGTTTCAAACATCGGGTGGAGAGGGAGGTGGGAGGGGGGATCAGGATGGGGAATACATGTAAATCCATGGCTGATTCATGTCAATGTATGACAAAAACCACTACAATATTGTAAAGTAATTAGCCTCCAACTAATAAAAATAAATGAAAAAAAATTTTCAAAGATATGAGCTAGATCTGCAGGAGGATGACTTCACTGAACTCCTTGCTGTGCAAAACAAGGAGCTCACTAATGAAGACCTGATGGAATTGGAGGGTCAGAGAAAGGACAGAGAGGCCAGAGGAATAAGTAAGTGAAGAATGGATGAGGTTTATGACACAGCAAATGGCAAGGGGATTTTCTTTATTTGAGGAGGGACTGTTAGCTTTTGAAACCCAGGACCTGAACCTAGAATGCTACATGAATGTTGCAGCAGGTGTTCAGAATGCAATCCACTGCTACTGTGTCATCTATGGAGAAAAATAGAGTAACTACCCTGACATCACTGTACTGTTTCTTCAAGAGGGTGGATAGAATTGAGTTCAGCAAGGAGCCAAACACTGTGGCATAAATGCAGGTGTGAGTGACATTGTAGCTCGCCCTCTGTCTGCTACTGCTCTTGACCTTTCAGCTCTACTATTTCCCATCTCGTCTCCTTCCTCTAGTCAGTAACCCTTCTTGCCTATTCACTGGATGCCAGCTCCTGGATGCCAGCTGTTGTACTGCACTACTGCACTTTTCAAGGTGCTGTGCTGTAGATTAAAAATGTTCCCTTTGTTTTTTCATGGTTGTTTACGTTTTATGTATTATTTGTGTGATAAGTATTAAAAACATATTACAATACAGTACCATATAGCTGATTTGTGTTATTGGGGGGTGGGGTGTGTGTGCTCAGTGGTGTCTGACTCTTTGCAACCCGTGGACTGTAGCTCACCAGGCTCCTCTGACCATGGGATTTTCTAGGTTATTGGGTACATAGCTCAGTTGGTAAAGAATCTGCCTGCAGTGCAGGAGACCCGGGTTGAATTCCTGGGTGAGGAAGATCCTCTGCAGAAGGAAATGGCAACCCACTCCAGTATTCTCACCTGGAGAATCCCATAGACAGAGGAGCCTGGCAGGCTACAGTCCATGGGATCACAAGAGTCGGACATGACTTAGTGACTAAACCACCACCACCAGGCTAACTTCACTGGACTTACAAACAAATTGGACTTATGAACATGCTCTCAGAACAGAACTCATTTGTATGTAGGGAACTTCCTGAATCCTCCCTGTCCCATGCTTGTCCCTCACACTCTCAGAATATTCTGCACCTGCTACCAGAGCCCAAGTCTTCACAGTGGTGTGATCTGATCCCACCTTACTTCTCTGCTCTCATCTCTTTCCACTCTCTGCCTTATTCCCATTGACTACCTTGCTTTTCTTCTAATAGGCCTGACAAGGTCCCACCACAGGTCCTTTTCACTTGATCTGCTTTTACATAAAGAGCTTTCCCTTGTATATGCACATGGCCTGCTTCCCTCTTATTTCAGGTCTTTTAATCTGATATCTCCTCCTAAGTGAGGCCTTTCACTGGCCACCTTATCTGACATTGCAACCTCTCCCTTGTCCCACATACCCACTACTTCCCTCCCTTGCTTTATTTTTTTCTTCATATTTATCATCATCTAAAACAGTTAATAGTTTGCTTTTTCTCTTGCTTATTTGCTATCTTCCCTAACTAAAATATAAGTTCTGCTAAGGCAGAGATTTGCCCATTTTATTCACTGATGTGTCTCAAATGCCCAGAGTAGTACCTGACACATAATAAGTATTCAGTAAATATTTGTTAAATGATTACATGAATCAATTAATTTCTTTAACTTGGTCAAATGTATCCATCAATAACTTTCAGCAAGTATCATTTTAAATGGTGAAATGTTACAATTATTCCCTTTAAAATCAGTAAAGGATGAGGTTAATCATGATAACTACGGCTCTTCAATATTGTGCTGAATGTACTAACTTGTGAGACAAGGAAAAACACCATTCTGGGGGTGACTACATTTTGTACATAAAGTTTAGGCAACAAGACAGAAATGCCTATGATTGCTATTATAGTTGACATTTTCTGAGGTTTTAGCAAGTGGAGAAAAACAACAACATAAAGCAATCAGTACAATTATTGGAAGAGAAGTAACAATATAACTGTGTACCTATAAAAAGCAAGAAAAATTGCCTTTTCTAGCCAAAATAATTGCTAGAATTAATGAGATATTTTGATAAGGTGGCTAAATACAAATCAGACATTAAAGAAGTAGCCATAACAAAATGGATGTTAGTAACATATTCCACTTACAAAAGTGGCAAATATAAAAAATATTTAGAAAAAATTTAATATGAAAGGTATAGAACCAAAATAAAAACAGAACTCTACAAAATTTCATCAAATGACACAAGACACTTAGGACAACCTGAGTGTCCATCAGTAGATGAATGAAGAAATGTGGTTCTATTCTCTCTCTCACCCACACACACACAAACACAGTGGATATTAGCCATGAAAAAGGAGGAAATCCTGCCATTTGTGCCCACATGAATGGATCTTGTGAACATTATGGTAAGTTGGACAGAGAAAGACAAATACTATATGATATCACTTACATATGGAATCTTAAAAAGCCAAACTCATAAAAATAGAGAGTATAATGGAGGTCACAAGAGAGAGGATGGGGGATGAAAGAATCGGTAAGATGTTATTTAAAAGTAAAAACTTGCAACTAGTATATAAATAAGTTTAGGAAATTGAATCCACTGCCTAGTGATTATAGTCAATAATACTGTATTATAAACTTCAAAGTTGCTAATACAGTAGATCTTAACCATTATTACCACTAAAAATAAATGATAATTATGTGATGGAATAGAGGTATTAGCTAGTGCTAGGTGGGTAAACATATGGCAATATGTAAATGTATTGAATCAACATGTTGTATACCTTAAACTTACACAATGTTATATGACAACTATACTTCAATATTTTTCAGACACATTTTTTCAATGATTGTATGGTATTCCATTGCATGGAGACATGAAAATTCATTAATAATTCTGAAGTTTTGAAGTTTAACAAAAGATACAGAGAATAGCATACAAAAAAGAAATGCCCATGAACCCACCATCCATATTTACTAAAAGCCAACATTTTGCCTTTAAAAAGACTTGAAGGAGCCTTCTACTGGGCATGTGGGCAGTGGCTCCTGAGGGATCTCTCAGAGAGAGTTGAGATCTGCTGGAAAGACATCAGTGGGGACCCAAGCTATTATACATTGGGAACCAGAAGTTTACTTGAGATCGCAAGTTAGTGGAAATGCAAACTAAAGTATCAGTGAGATATCACTAAACCCATCTGGGTGTCACAGATGTTAAAAGAATGATAATGTATAGTATTAAAGATATGTAGAAAAAGTGTATCCTTATATTCTAATGAATAAAGCTGTAAAATTTTTGAAAAGATACATACCACTTGAATTTTGTTCCTGTGAATCTATTCCACAGGAATAAGAACAACAGTACATAAGGACACATGAGCAAGGATGTTATTTACAGCAGTTTGTACTGATAAAAAAAACTGGAAGGAAAGGGAATGTCCATCAGTAGAGGAATCATTTGGCAATTTGCAGCACAATTATAGTAAGCATAAATCTACACTAGTGGAGTTGATGAATATTAAAAACTTTTTCTGAAGTCGGATAAGCCAGATGCACAAATTATGCTTACTATTATTGTGTTTATATGAGCATAAAAAGGGTATGGAAACATATACCACAGATTATTTTTCATTACTTACCTTTGGGAGCAAGAAAAGGTTTGGGAGCAGGTGGTTTGAAGGGATTCAGTAGTAGAGGAAGATGGATGAGGAGAAAATAACAGACTCAATACTTACAGGACAAACTTGGAACAAGTGCTTAAAATACAGGAAGCCATCACTAATGGATGAAAGAGACAAAGCATAGGAACACAGAAAAAAATCTGAAATAGCATCCCTAGTTTCTTAGGTAGGAAGAATTTTGTACTGATAAATCCTTTTATTTATAATGTATACATTAACATTAAAATACTTTATTTTTTTAGAGCAGTTTTAAGCTTACAGCCAGACTTCTGACTGATGAAAACTGTGAGATAATAAATGAGTGATATTTTAAGACACTGAGTTTGTTGAACAACAATAAAAAATGAATATAGTAGTCTTATTATTTTCAGACACTATCCTGGGTGGGCAGAGATGTAGAGCTGTCATTCAAGTGTACACAGTGCAGTTATGGCCTCTGGCTAATTGAGAGATATCTGTTTCCTGGTTTTCTTGTGTTAGGTATGTTCTTCCTTCATGCCATCAGTGATATAATGAGCTAGTCTTCATCAGTCCTCATGGACTTTACAGTGCTATTATCCCATACCCTCACTCCCAACCCTCCAAGTGTTTCTTCTCTATTTCTAGACTACAAATAATTTACTTTTTTAATTTAAGTAAGTTATGCATTTTAAAAATAATTTAAAATATTATATTGATGGTCTTTGTGTCTTTGAGGTCAAAGGGGGAAGTTTATGCATGATAGACATAATATTTCTCCCCTGCAGAACTAAGATATCAGACTGAATTAAAGCCTATTTCAAAATTCTAGATCTTCTGAGGGCTCTACAATAAAATAAGTCTGATTTCTACCAGTATAAGTGTCCCCAAACCTCATTATGGATCAGACAATGTGGCTAAAATTGAATTTCATTTCTAACACACTACTTGCATCTCGTAAAGCTTTAATATATGTAAAAGTTTTCTAACCATATATGGAGTGATCAGGGTGGATCTTTGCAAACTTTTATAGAAAGAGCAAAATAGAGCTCTGAAATAGGCTATTCAGGTATGACCAGTAGAGGTGATGAATAGATTCAGGGAATTAGATCTGATAGAGTGCCTATATAACCATGGATGGAAGTCCATAACTTTTTACAGGAGGTGGTGACCAAAACCATTGCAAAGAAAAAGAAATGCAAGAAGGTCAAGTGGTTGGGTGAGGAACATTTACAAATAGCTGAGAAAATAAGAGAGGCAAAAAGCAAGGGAGAAAGGGGAAAATATAACCAACTGAATGCAGAGTTCCAGACAATAGCAAAGAGAGGTAAGAAGGCCTTCTTAAATGAACAATGTAAATAGAGAAAAACAACAGAAAGGGAAAGACTAGAGATCTCTTCAAGAAAGTTAGAGATACCAAGGGAACATTTCATGCAAAGATGGGCATGATAAAGGACAGAAACTGTATGGACTTGACAGAAGCAGAACAGATTAAGAAAAGGTGGGAAGAATACACAGAGGAACTATGCAAAAATGATCTTCATGACCCAGATAACCACGATGGTGTGGTCACTCACCTAGAGCCAGATACCCTGGAGTGTAAAGTCAAGTGGGCCTTAGGAAGCATTACTACAAACAAAGCTAGTGGATGTGATGGAATTCCAGTTGAGCTACTTCAGACCCTAAAAGATGATGCTGTGAAAGTGCTGCACTCAATATGCCAGCAAATATGGAAAACTCAGCAGTGGCCACAGGACTGGAAAAGGTCAGTTTTCATTCCAATCCAAAAGAAGGACAATACCAAAGAATGCTCAAACTACCATATAATTGCGCTCATCTCACATGCTAGTAAAGTAATGCTCAAAATTCTCCAAGCCAGGCTTCAACAGTATGTGAATCATGAACTTTCAGATGTTCAAGCTGGTTTTAGAAAAGGCAGAGAACCAGAGATCAAATTGCCAACATCCAGTGGCGCATCAGAAAACCGGGAGAATTCCAGAAAAACATCTACTTCTGCTTCATTGACTACACTAAAGCCTTTGACTCTGTGAGTCACAGCAAACTGGAAAATTCTTCAAGAGGTGGGAATACCAGACCACCTTACCTGCCTCCTGAGAAACCTGTATGTGAGTCAAGAAGCAACAGTTAGAACTGAACATGGAACAACTGACTGGTTTACAACTGAGCAAGAAGTATGACAATTCTGTATATTTTCACCCTGCTTATTTAACTTATAGGCAGAGTACATCATATGAAATGCTGGGCTGGAATCAAAATTGCCAGGAAAAGTATAAACAACTCACTGGAAAAGACCCCGATTCTGGGAAAGACGGCAAAATTGGAGAAAAGGGTGGCAAAGGATGAGGTGGTTAAATAACATCACTGACTCACTGGGCATAAATCTGAGCAAACTCTGGGAGACAGTGAAGGATGGGGAGCCTGGAGGGCTGCAGTCCATCAGGTTGCAAAGTGTCAGACATGACTTAGCAACTGAGTAACAACAACAAAACACAAGTTTTCTAATCATATATGGAGTGATCGGGGGTATCTTTGCAAACTTTTCTAGAAAGAGCAAAACTGAAAAAAAGATGTTTAGAAAAATACTCAATCTGAAATAAATAAGTCAATAAAATAGATGATCTCAAGAACAATAATATCCTGTAAAAATGCTGTACCTTGGAGGAGCCAGTGTCTGCTCTAGAAACTCCTCAATTTTAATGAAGTCTGTTTTCAACTCCTTGTTATATACCAGGAAGGGAGGATTGGTGCCTGGGGCTAAGTCCTTCAGCTCTTCAGGCTTTCTATAATTAATGAAAATAAGCAGAGTCATTCTTCTAGATAAAGTACATATTATGCAAACACCAGGATTGTATTGGTGTCTACTGATTTTAACCCCCTGATTTCTCTTACCTGGTCATGTCAACAGTAGTCACATTGAATTTAACTCCTTTAAGCCAGAGGATCATAAAAAGGCGTTGACTAAAGGGACAATTTCCAATACTCTCCCCATCACTTCCAGCCTATTAAGACAAAGAGAAGCTTCATTCATTCGTTTGCTCAACAAGTATTTATTGACTGCTTACTGTGAAATGAGCTAGTTGCTAGAGACAGTGTTGGAAGTCCTTAATCTCAAGGATTCTACAATATTTGGGCAGAGAGTGCTAATGAAGCAAATAATTTTATTGTATGTAAAAATTACAAGTGTGATGAGTATTAATAATGATAAATTTTATGCATTGCCAAAATTTATATGACCATTTCAGATATTTCAAAATTTTGTTACTCTAAATTCTTCAGTAACAAATGTTTCCAAGCATACAACTTGTTCCATTTCTAAGATTATATATTTAGAATTCATCTTTAAAACCAGAATGCTGACTAAACATTATTTGCATTTTCCATTTTGATAGATCTTGCCAAATTTCTTTCTTGAAAGATGTGTTCTATATTTTCATTGGATATTTGATTTCCTTATTCTGTGAATTGTTTGTTCATGACAATTTTATATTTTTTATTAAGATTATGACTTTTTCATTATTAGTTTGGAAAAATTGTCTACTAAAGCCACTAACTCTTTTTTTTTTTTAATTTATTTATTTATTTTTTTTTATCACATGAGCCACTAACTCTTTTTGATACATGTTACACGTACTTTTTTGAAGTCTCATGTAAAATTAAAATTTTAAATAAAATCTTATACTGTTTTCCTTTGTAAAATCTGGCTTTTCTGATATGCTTATACAGCTGTTATATACATCAAAATTGCAAAGAAAATATTTTATTATTTTGTTTTACTATAAAGATGTCCTCTCATGTTTTTTCTAGTACCTTTATGGTTTCCTTTTTACATTTGTTTCATCTATTAATATTTACAATTTATTTTCACATAAGGAGCATATTGGGACTCCAACTTTATTATTTTTATTATTTTACAAATAGATACATGCATCTGTATGTTCATTGCAGCCTTATTTACGATTGCCAAGATATGGAGTCAACTTAAATGTACATTGACAGATGAATGGATTAAGAAGATGTGGTGTGTATATACAATGGAATACTACTCAACCACAAAAAGAAGGAAACAACACCATTTGCAGCAACAAGGATGGACCTAGAGATTAACATCCTAAGTGAAGTAAGCCAGACAAAGACAAACATGGATATCACTTATATGTGGAAACTAAAATATGACACAAATGAACTTATCTGTAAAACAGAAACAGGCTTACAGATGTAGAGAACAGACTGGTTGCCAAGGGGGGTGGTGAGGGAGGGATGGAGTGGGAGTTTGGGGTTAGCAGATGCAAATTATTATTAGATGAAGTCATTAAGGTTGAACCTTTATGATGGGATTAATGGCCTTATAAGAAGGGATCAGAGAGCTCCCTCCCTTGTATTGCTCTTTCTTCACTTTCCCCTACAACCATGCGTGCAAGTTTGCAGCAAAGAAGGCACATATCTATCATAAACCAGGAAGAGTGTTCTCACCAGAAACTGACCATTCTGCCACCTTGATTTTGGACATAATTCTTATATTTTGGTAAGTTTTCTTTTTCTTGGCAGTGACTGCAACAGAGGAAATAGTGTTCATTGTTGCTCTTTTTGGCGTCTGAGTGAAGAGATATGGGAAGAAACAACCAGTCTTGGCAGTCTGAACTTCTTTTGTAACAGAAGTCAGACTAAAGATCCAATCATAACTGGGGTTAGTGAATGGAATCTTGATTATGGGTGGGAGGCAGGAAGAACAATAAAGTCTGATAATAGTTACAGCAGGAAGGGTGGGTTGCTTTTAGTAAAAGGAAAGGCAGAACACTGAGGTGTGGGGGAAATGCAGTACAATTTTACAGGAAAACTGAAACTTTTTCTGTTGTTTATAATAATGCTGATTTAAAGTGCCATTACACAAAATGTATGAATATACAATAGAGAAAAAGACAGTCTCTTTTCAATAAGTGGTACTGTGAAAACTGGACAGCTACATGTAAAATAATGAAATTAAAATACTCTCTATAAATCATAAACAAAAATAAACTCAAAATGGATTAAAGGCCTGAATGTAAGACCAGATACTATAAATCTCTTAGATGAAACTTAAGCAAAACATTTTATGGCATAAATAGGAGCAAGATCTTTTTGGATCCACCTCCTAGAGTAATGAAAATAAAAGCAAAAATAAACAAATGGGATATAATTAAATACAAAAGCTTTTGCACAGCAGAGGAAACCTTAAACCAGAGAAAAACACAACCCATAGAATGGGAGGAAATACTTGCAAATGAAGCAACTGACAAGGGATTAATCTCCAAAATACACAAACAGCACAAGCAGCTCAGTATAAAAAACCAAACAGCCCAATCAAAAAGTGGACATAATATCTAAATAGACATTTCTCCAAAGAAAGCATACAGGTGGCTTATAATCACATGAAAAGATGTTCAATGTCTCTCATTATTAGAGAAATGCAAATCAAAACTTCAACAAGTTGTTACCTCACACTGGCCAGAAGGGCCATCACCAAACAATCTACAAACAATAAATGCTGGAGAGGGCCAAGATGGCGGAGGAATAGGATGGGGAGACCACTTTCTCTCCTACAAATTCATCGAAAGAACATTTGAATGCTGAGCAAATTTCACAAAACAACTTCTGATCGCTAGCAGAGGACATCAGGCGCCCAGAAAAGCAGCCCATTGTCTTCGAAGGGAGGGCCCGCTCCATATAGAGCAGCCGGGAGCCTGAGCAGTGTAGACGGGGAAAGCACTGACACCCGTGAGCGGGGCAAACCCAGTGTGGCCGGAACACGGTGAGTGCTATCCACACAGAGCGGTATCTGTCTGCAGCGCCCCGCCCTCCCCGTAGCAGGACTGAGCTGAACTAGAGAACCTAAATAAGAGATCACCTCCACCCGCCTGTGTCAGGGCGGAAATTAGACACCGAAGAGACGGCAAACAGAAGCCAAATAAACAAAGGGAACCGCTTCAGAAAGGACTGGTGCAACAGATTAAAATCCCTGAAGGTAACACTGACTACACCAGAAGGGGCCTACAGATATCGAGAAGTGTAAGCTGGAAAGAGGAGCTATCTGAAATTGAACTGAACCTACGCTGACTGCAACAACTCCAGAGAAATTCCTAGATATATATATATATTTTTTTAATTTAAAAAAAATAAATTTTTTTCTATCCTTTTTTTAATTTTTTAAATTTTTTATCTTTTATTTTCTTTTAAAATTCCCTATTACTCCCCCATTACTCCTCAACTTTCATTTTCATATATTTTTACGATTTTTTTAATTAGGGAAAAAAATTTTTTTTCTTTTTTTTCTTTTTCTTGTTTTTCTCTCCTATTTCCTTTTAAAGTCCTCTAATACTCCTCTATTATTCCTTAATTTTCATTTTCATTTCACTATAACCTTGCCAAAAAAAAAAGAGAGAGAGAGAGAGAAAAACCCTATTTTTAAATCAAACTTCATATACATTTCTAAATTTTTTTGTGTTTTTGTTTTTAAATATTGTATTTCAAAGAGTCTAACCTCTACACTAGATTTTTAATCTTTGTTTTTCAGTAGTATGTGATATAAATTTTGGTCATTTAAGAATCCAATATTCAGGGGAAGGAGCCAAGATGGCGGAGGAATAGGACGGGGAGACCACTTTCTCTCCTACAAATTCATCGAAAGAACATTTGAATGCTGAGCAAATTGCACAAAACAACTTCTGATCGCTAGCAGAGGACATCAGGCGCCCAGAAAAGCAGCCCATTGTCTTCGAAGGGAGGTAGGACAAAATATAAAGGATAGAAAGGGAGTCAAAAGAGCTACGGACAGAGACCCGTCCTGGGAAGGGAGTCTTAATAGAGGAAGTTTCCAATCACCGGGAAACCCTCGCACTGGCGGGACTGGGGGAAGTTTTCAGCAATCTAACTGGGAGGAAAAATTAAACAAGGCCCAGAGATTACGTGCCTAAAAGCAACTCCCAGCAGAAAAGTACCCCAGAGGCCCGCACCCGCCAGCAACAAGCGGGGGCGGAACGGAGAGGAGCGGGCGGCATTGCTTAGGGCCCGAACACACTGCCGGCGGTTCGCAAAACAAAGGGACTGAGAAAGTCCAGAGAAGAGCCGGCCCATCCCCGCTGGAGGTTGGAGGCAGGGGGGAGGGGAAAAGGGCAAACTCAGCCCCTGAGAAGCCACCCCCTCCCACACTGCAAACAGGCCCCCGGTTCCTATCTAAAGACTTCCTGAGACCCGACTGGCGGCGCGCGCTGGGGCCGCGGAGGGAAAAAGCGCGCCGTACCCGGGGAGATAGCGCCCAATCCTCTGGCTGCCTGAGCCGCTCGCCGCGGAGGGAAAAGGCGCGCCGCACCCAGGGAGAGTGCGCCCAAGCCTCTGGCTGCCTGGGCCCCTCGACGCGGAGGGAAAAGGTGCGCCGCATCCGGGGAGATTGCGCCCAAGCTTCTGGCTGCCTGGGCCACTCGCCGCGGAGGGAAAAAGCGCGCCGTACCCGGGGAGATAGCGCCCAATCCTCTGGCTGCCTGGGCCGCTCGACGCGGAGGGAAAGGGCGCGCCACATCCGGGGAGAGTGCGCCCAAGCCTCTGGCTGCCTGGGCCCCTCGACGCGGAGGGAAAAGGCGGGCCACACCCAGGGAGAGTACGCCCAAGCCTCTGGCTGTCTGAACCGCTCAGGCCGGGGAAGGCACAAAACGCAGGCGCAACCGAATCTGCGCTTTTGTGGAGCACCCGAAAACTGGAACCGCACTCAAAGCAGGGCCCGCTCCATATAGAGCAGCCGGGAACCTGAGCAGTGTAGACGGCAAAAGCACTGACACCCGTGAGCGGGGCAAACCCAGTGTGGCCGGAACACGGTGAGTGCTATCCACACAGAGCGGTATCTGTCTGCAGCGCCCCGCCCTCCCCATAGCAGGACTGAACTGAACTAGAGAACCTAAATAAGAGATCACCTCCACCCGCCTGTGTCAGGGCGGAAATTAGACACCGAAGAGACGGCAAACAGAAGCCAAAT